AAACTCGCCTGACCTGAACCCCATAGAGAATCTATGGGGCATTGCCAAGAGAAAGATGAGAGACATGAGACCGAACAATGCAGAAGAACTGAAGGCCGCTATTGAAGCATCCTGGTCTTCCATAACACCTCAGCAGTGCCACAGGCTGATAGCTTCCATGCCAAGCCGCATTGAGGCAGTAATTGCTGCAAAAGGGGGCCCAAACCAAGTACTGAGTACATATGCAGCTTTCTACTTTTCGGAGGTCCGATATTGTTCTATGTACAATCCGTGTTTTATTGATTGCATGGAATATTCTCATTTTCTGAGATTGTGGATTTGGGGTTTTCATGAGCTGTAAGCCATAATCATCACAATGATGACAAATCACGGCTTGAACTATCTTGCTTTGCATGTAATGAGTCTCATATATTAGTGTCACCTTTTAAGTTGCTGCACTGAAATAAATGAACTTTTGTACCATATTCAAATTTTTTGAGTTTCACCTGTAATGCACAGAGTACAGATGAGTCTATATAATACACACAGTACGGATGTTAACTATTAATATCTGCAAATTCAGTCTGTGATAAGCAGCCTTGTTTAATGATTACAAGTCGCTGTTATCTGATCAGAGCAGATGTAGCCCAATAAAGTTCTATCTTACAATGCACCATGAACCCTGAATGGTCAGAACTACAAAGCTCAGCATGGCCAGAACAACTGAGCACAGAATGGCCAATCCAGCATGGCCAGCACAGCAGCGTCCGGCATGGCCAGCACAGCAGCGTCCGGCATGGTCAGAAACACGCAGCCTGGAATGGCCAGCACAACAGAGCCCAGCAAGGTCAGAAATACAGAGCCAAACTTGGCAGCACTACATAATCTGGCATGGCCAGTACTACTACACCAACCACCATGGTCAGGATTAGAGAGCCCAGCATGGCCATAACTAAAGACTCAGACATGGCCAGAACTACAGGTTCAAGCATGGCCACAACAACAGAGTCTGGCCTGGTCAGCAGTACAGAGCTCAACATGGATAGAACAACAAAGCCCAGCATGACCAAACAGAGCCCAGCATGACCAAACAACAGAGCCCAGCATGACCAGAACTACAGGTCCAAGCATGGCTAGAACAACAGAGTCTGGCCTGGCCAGAACTACAGAGCTCAGCATGGCTAAAACTGCAGATCCAAGCATGGCCAGAACAGAGCCCAGCATGGCCATAACTAAAGACTCAGATATGGCCAGAACTCCATATCTATACATGACCAGCACTACAGAGCCCAGCATGGCCATAACTAAAGACTCAGATATGGCCAGAACTACATATCTAGACATGACCAGCACCACAGAGCTCAGCATGACCAGCACTACAGAGCCCAGCATGACCATAACTAAAGACAGACATGGCCAGAACTCCATAACTAGACATGACCAGCACTACAGAGCTCAGCATGACCAGCACTACAGAGCCCAGCATGACCAGCACTACAGAGCCCAGCATGACCAGCACTACAGAGCTCAGCATGACCAGCACTACAGAGCCCAGCATGACCAGCACTACAGAGCCCAGCATGACCAGCACTACAGAGCTCAGCATGACCAGCACCACAGAGCTCAGCATTGCTAGAACCACAAAGCCCAGAACTCCACCACAGGTGATGGCCAGTTGCTAAGATAGCTCGGGTGTCCCTGGATTAGTGGTCTGTCCCAGAGTCCAATAGTGCTCATTGGTGTGCCTGTTTTCCAGAGGCTGCCATTCCTGCCCTCTCTCCAGGATTTCTGGATTTCTGGTCTCCTGCTATGCTCTGTTTTCCCCCTTGCCAACCTCTATATTCCTATAAGACAAAGTAGTGAAGTGAGGGGCCGGTAGATCAAAGCAATGAGTACAGCAAGGAACTGGAAATCTGACACTTCCTGAAGTGTCGGATTTTGAAAAATCTTTGGCTTGTCGTTATTAGAGCATTGTGGGCAACGTCAGCATTTACAGCCCTCACTGAAGGGACCCTCTGTCCCCTTTATAAATCTGTAAAGGGTATATTTCACTTACAATTGTATCATGTGCACTGGAACCAATTGGATCCTAAAAAGATTGGGCATCTAGAGGTTAACCACTTCCCGTCTGGCCCATGTATATAAACGGCTAGACGGTGGCAGTGCAGGGGCGGGTTGCTGTTCATAAACAGCGCCCGCCATTTTGGACTGTGCGCGCTCCCTGGGAGCGTGCGGCACCGCGATCCGTTCCCCTTTGTGTCCTCCGGACACAGTGGAAACACCGATCGTCGTACGGGACCTCTGTGTGAGGTCCCGATCATGTGATCACTGATTGGCCAATCAGTTATCACATTCAGAGTAGTAAGCAAGATGTCACTTCTGACATCATTGCTTACTACATGAGAAATCTGTGAATGTTCACAGAGGTCACATGGTACAGGGCAACAGCCTTGTACCATGTGACAAGCTGTGACCAATCACAGCTCACACAGCATTTCTCAATGGCTGCAAGAATGCAGCCAGAGAGAATGAGAAATGATTGCTTTTACAGCCTTTATGGGTGTAAAAGCAATCAGTGTGAAAAAAAAAATCTTCTTCACCCCCCACAAGTAGTACACTATGGTGACACTGTAGACCTAGGGTGACGGTATGTTAAAAAAAAAACATAAATAATAATTAAAAAATAAAATAAAAATGTGAAAAAAAAATTTAAATTATAATTTTTGGTTATAAGCTAATTTGGGTTATATTTTATTTGACTAAAAAGATAACTGAATACATTTTGGTCAAGATTTATGATGAAATATTATTGATTTGCAAAATTTTATAAGAAAAACACTTTTTTTCAACATTTTTGAACTGTTTCATTTATATAGCAAAAAAAAAATAAAAATCCCAGCGGTGAATAAATACCACCAAAATAAAGTTGTATCGGTCTCAAAAAAATGCTAAAAAATATAATTTGGGTACAGTGTTACATGACCGCGCAATTGAAATTGGCCCGGACTAGAAGGGGGGTGAAAGTGTCCGGACTGGAAGGGGGGGAAAGTGTCCGGACTGGAAGGGGGTGAAAGTGTCCGGACTGGAAGGGGGTGAAAGTGTCCGGACTGGAAGGGGGTGAAAGTGTCCAGACTGGAAGGGGGTGAAAGTGTCCGGACTGGAAGGGGGGGAAAGTGTCCGGACTGGAAGGGGGGGAAAGTGTCCGGACTGGAAGGGGAGGAAAGTGTCCGGACTGGAAGGGGGTGAAAGTGTCCGGACTGGAAGGGGAGGAAAGTGTCCGGACTGGAAGGGGGGGGGAAAGTGTCCAGACTGGAAGGGGGGGGGAAAGTGTCCGGACTGGAAGGGGGGGGGAAAGTGTCCGGACTGGAAGGGGAGGGAAAGTGTCCGGACTGGAAGGGGGGGGAAAGTGTCCGGACTGGAAGGGGGGGGGAAAGTGTCCGGACTGGAAGGGGGTGAAAGTGTCCGGACTGGAAGGGGGTGAAAGTGTCCGGACTGGAAGGGGGGGAAAGTGTCCGGACTGGAAGGGGAGGAAAGTGTCCGGACTGGAAGGGGAGGGAAAGTGTCCGGACTGGAAGGGGAGGAAAGTGTCCGGACTGGAAGGGGAGGGAAAGTGTCCGGACTGGAAGGGGAGGGAAAGTGTCCGGACTGGAAGGGGGGAAAGTGTCCGGACTGGAAGGGGAGGAAAGTGTCTGGACTGGAAGGGGAGGAAAGTGTCTGGACTGGAAGGGGGGAAAGTGTCCGGACTGGAAGGGGGGGAAAGTGTGCGGACTGGAAGGGGAGGAAAGTGTCTGGACTGGAAGGGGGGGAAAGTGTCTGGACTGGAAGGGGGGAAAGTGTCTGGACTGGAAGTGGTTAACTAGAACTCAGAAGTGCTGCAAACATTGATTGATAACATATCAACATGCGTGATCGTTATCTGCCCATAGGCTGAGTCATGGCAGTGTGGTGACAGGAGCATGGACTTGCAGGCTTCCACCCATACATACCTGGCCAAATCCGAGATATTCATCCACCAGCCTTTTTCCCTGACTTTCCCCATCAAGGAAATTTACTAAAACAGGAGAGTGCAAAATCAGGTGCGTCTGTGCATGGGAACCAATCAGCTTCTACCTTCAGCTTGTTCAATGAAGCTTTGACAATAAAAGCTGGAAGCTGATGGGTTCCTGAGAGCTGCACCAGATTTTGCACCCTCCGGTTTTAGTAAATCCACCCCAATGCATCTGGAGCAATATTGTATCGATGCGACTTTCTCAGACAACCTTAACTGTCTTCTTTAAAGTGATTGAGAAAACTTTATTCCAACAAAGTGCTCCAAGACACTCCGGAATCAGACTATCGTAGAGACCAGTGACCAACCAATACGAATATCAGCCTCAAGTAAGGTGAGCCTTTTGTTTGACATAATTCTTTAGGAAAATGTAACTAAAGTCAAAACCATTATTTTCTCCATTTGGAGAGTGCGTAGAAGTATTACCACGCCGCTCGGGTTTTAACTGCGGTCTGTGTCCCTACTGGGGAGATTGGCCCTGTCTATTGGTCCTGTCTATTGGCCCTGTCTATTGGCCCTGGTGGTAAAGGTCACCTGAATAGAAGGTGATGGAGAATCACAAATGCTACAAGTTGATCCCAGAACATGAAGAACAAGATAATCTGGAGTCAGTGGGAGAAAATAGTGTCTGCTCTTTGGTATTAGAGGGAGGAATAGTGTCCCATCATTGGTGTCAGTGGGAGGAATATTGCCCCATCATTGGTGTCAGTGGGAGGAATAGTGCCCAATCATTGGTGTCAGTAGGAGGAATATTGCCCCATCATTGGTGTCAGTAGGAGGAATAGTCCCCACCATTGGTGTCAGTGGGAGGAATAGTCCCCACCATTGGTGTCAGTGGGAGGAATAGTGCCCCATCATTGATGTCAGTAGGAGAAATATTGCCCCATCATTGGTGTCAGTGGGAGGAATAGTCCCCAACATTGGTGTCAGTAGGAGGAATAGTGCCCATCATTGATGTCAGTAGGAGGAATAGTGCCCCATCATTGGTGTCAGTGGGAGGAATAGTGCCCCATCATTGGTGTCAGTGGGAGGAATAGTGCCCCATCATTGGTGTCAGTGGGAGGAATAGTGCCCCATCATTGGTGTCAGTGGGAGGAATAGTGCCCCATCATTGGTGTCAGTGGGAGGAATAGTGCCTCATCATTGGTGTCAGTGGGAGGAATAGTGCCCCATCATCGGTGTCAGTGGGGGAGGAATAGTGCCCCATCATCGGTGTCAGAGGGAGGTATAGTTTCCCATCATTAGTGTCAGTGGAAAGAATAGTGCCCCAATTATTGTTATTAGGGGGAGGAAAAGAACCCCATCATTGATGTCAGTGGGAAGAATAGTGCCCCATTTTTGGTACCAGGGGGAGGAATAGTGCCCCATGGTTGGTGTCAGAGGGAAGCATAGTTCTTTATCATTGGAATCAGTGGGAAGAATAGTGAACCATTTTTGTTATTAGGGGGAGGAATAGTGCCCCATCCTTGGTGTCTTTGATAGGAATGGTATCCCATCATTGGTGACAGTGGGAGAAATAGTGTCCCATTATTGGTGTCAGTGGGAGGCATAGTTCCTTATCATTGATGTCAATGGAAAGAACAGTGCCCTATTTTTGATATTAGGGGGAGGAATAGTGCCCCATCCTAGGTGTCTTTGGGAGGAATGGTGTCCCATCGTTGGTGTCTTTGGGGGGAATGGTGTCCCATCCTAGGTGTCTTTGGGAGGAATGGTGTCCCATCGTTGGTGTCTTTGGGAGGAATGGTGTCCCATCATTGGTGTCTTTGGGGGGAATGGTGTCCCATCATTGGCGTCAGTTTGGAGGAACAGCGCCCTGTTGTCGGTGTCAATAGCAGGAACAACGCCCCAAGGGCTAGATGAAAGCAAGAAAAGGGCCACATCTGGCCCCTGGGCCACAGTTTGGAGACCACTAGTCTAAGAGGCGAATCCCCTCACCCAGAAGACAATTACTGCTGGCTCACCAGAAAAGAACGTGAAGGTGAATACGAGAAGATTTTAATGATTCATTACTGTATCCAAAAATGAAAAAAAAAATGCCTTTAGACATTCTTCAAATTAAAACAAACTCCCGCTGCCACGCCTGACCTTTGACCCCCCTTATATTAGCGACATATTGTGTACATAAGTTTCCCTTGTAGCCGGGACAATGACAAGTCAGACTATTGGGAAATTATTCAAATAGCTGAGCATGATCTCATGCAAAACACTCATTAAAAGGCAGATTAGACACGCTGACCTATTTTTCTATACCTCACTTTTCTTGTCTGTTGAATTTTTCCGCTGAAGAATCCTTCTTTGGAGGATCCTTTGGCAGGTTCTCATTGAGTACGAAATTCACGCTTCTCCTCTTGGCAGAAATCTGCAAAGCAAAGTTTTTGTCCGCCGCTCTTTCCTTTGAAGAATCTTTCTTCTTCGGATCGCTTGGCAGGTTTTCTTTCTGTACACCGTTCGCGGTTTTCCTCTTGGCAGAAGCTGGCGAACCGACGTTCTTGTCTGTCGCTTTTTCCTTTGAAGAAACCTTCTTTGGCGGGTCGGACGGCAGGTTTCCTTTGTGCGCGACGTTCGCGGTTTTCCTCTTGGCAGTGGTTTGTGAACTAAACAGCTGGATTCTGGCCGCCACCAGACCGGCCGCCACCACCAGCTCCACATCATTGGTGGTGGTGGAGATCGGGTAATAGCCGAGAGCCGTGATGTTCTTCAGATGGCCTTCTTCGGGAAAGGTGTAGGACTTGTCCTCTTGGACATACCAGGTCTTAGTCCTTTTCATCGTTTCCTGAAGACCATGTCTTGAAAGATCTGGAAACCCATCGAGAAGACCATCCTTGGCTCCAAAATGTTGGACTTGGCTAGTTCAATGTAGACTTGATGAGGGAAATGAATCTCTGCCAGTCACAAGTCCTGGGTGACTTGTCAAAGACTTCTGTCTCTCTTCCTGCTCAGCGATGTGATCTACTTAATACAATGACGAGGATTTTAAGGGCATGATTCACCTTTGATACTTTTCGAAACAGGGAAATGCTTCAAACAGATATGCGGCAAAATCGTTGGAGAGCGAGTTCTGAATTGCTGATGTGTTATGATTACTATCTCCATGGAGACCTGAGAACATCTGTTTATTGGCCTAGAGATAAACTCAACGGCAAGGAAATGGTGTGAATGTGGGATAATGCAGGTGATAGACAGGTTTGCTGGGTTCAGACGGCTGGAATCAGCTCAGTGCAAACATCATATATCCACCTGTACTGTATACTGACGGCGCCCCGAGTGACCGCAAACTCCCAATTTCACAACCAAATGCTTACATTTCTGTCACAACACAAACTTTCGCCTGAAGGAGTTTCCCTGAATTTTTAATCTCTTTTGATGTCTATGACTAAAGCGAAACTTCAACATGTATTAAAAAAAAAATCCCGGGTCTGCTATATATAAAAATAAATAAATTGGGGAAAATGGGGAATTTCTACATATACTGTTCTACACTGTGGACCTTTACTTGCCCGTAGGGCACTATTCCTCCCACTGATACAAGGCAATATTCCTTCTACTGACACCAAGAATGGGGCACTATTCCTCCCACTGACACCAATGATGGGGAACTATTCTCCCACTGACACCAATGATGGGGCACTATTCGTCCCACTGACACCAATGATGGGGCACTATTTCCTCCCACTGACACCAATGATGGGGCACTATTCCTCCCACTGACACCAATGATGGGGAACTATTCCTCCCACTGACACCAATGATGGGGCACTATTCCTCCCACTGACACTAATGATGGGGCACTATTCCTCCCACTGATACCAGTGATGGGGCACTATTCCTCCCACTGACACCAGTGATGTGGCACTATTCCTCCCACTGATACCAATGATGGGGCACTATTCCTCCCACTGACACCAATGATGGGGCACTATTCCTCCCACTGACACCAATGATGGGGCACTATTCCTCCCACTGATACCAATGATGGGGCCACTATTCTTCCCACTGACACCAATGATGGGACACTATTCCTTCCACTGATACCAATGATGGGGCACTATTTCTCCCACTGACACCAATGATGGGGCACTATTCCTCCCACTGACACCAATGATGGGGCACTATTCCTCCCGCTGATACCAATGATGGGATACTATTCCTCCCACTGATACCAATGATGGGGCACTATTCCTCCCACTGACACCAATGATGGGATACTATTACTCCACTGACACCAATGATGGGGCACTATTCCTCCCACTGACACCAATGATGGGGCACTATTCCTCCCCACTGACACCAATGATGGGACACTATTCCTCCCATGGACACCAATGATGGGGCACTATTCCTCCCACTGACACCAATGATGGGGCACTATTCCCCCACTGACACCAATGATGGGGCACTATTCCTCCACTGATACCAATGATGGGGCACTATTCCTCCCTCTGATACCAATGATGGGGCACTATTCCTCCCACTGACACCAATGATGGGGCACTATTCCTCCCACTGATACCAATGATGGGGCACTATTCTTCCCACTGACACCAATGATGGGACACTATTCCTTCCACTGATACCAATGATGGGGCACTATTTCTCCCACTGACACCAATGATGGGGCACTATTCCTCCCACTGACACCAATGATGGGGCACTATTCCTCCCGCTGATACCAATGATGGGATACTATTCCTCCCACTGATACCAATGATGGGGCACTATTCCTCCCACTGACACCAATGATGGGATACTATTACTCCACTGACACCAATGATGGGGCACTATTCCTCCCACTGACACCAATGATGGGGCACTATTCCTCCCACTGACACCAATGATGGGACACTATTCCTCCCATGGACACCAATGATGGGGCACTATTCCTCCCACTGACACCAATGATGGGGCACTACTATTCCCCCCACTGACACCAATGATGGGGCACTATTCCTCCCACTGATACCAATGATGGGGCACTATTCCCCCCTCTGATACCAATAATGGGGCACTATTCCTCCCACTGACACCAATGATGGGGCACTATTCCTCCCACTGATACCAATGATGGGGCACTATTCCTCCCACTGACACCAATGATGGGGCACTATTCCTCCCACTGACACCAATGATGGGGCACTATTCCTCCCACTGACACCAATGATGGGACACTATTCCTCCCACTGACACCAATGATGGGGCACTATTCCTCCCACTGACACCAATGATGGGGCACTATTCCTCCCACTGACACCAATCATAGGGCACTTGACTCATCTGCTTAGAATAGGCAGGTGGAGAAACTCTCTAGGGATGGGGGGATCAAACTCTTGTATGAGGCCAATGATTCGCTGTTATGCCCTGTTTTTATTCTCGGGTTCAGATACATTTTAATACCAACATTCCTGATATTTAAAAGACGATCGATCTTGTTCCTGCGAAATACACAAAGACTGCTTCTCACAAAAGAGCCCCTGTATACTCTGTTACAATAAACACAATAAACGAGATCTAACTGAATCAGCTGGGAATTCATGTTCATACATGTTCAGACAACACAAAATTTACTGGAGCCAGCTCTAGAAATAGGAAGGAATTCCCTAGGCGAGAGTACAACAGAAACATCTCTGCGGTAGGGAAGAGGGAGTCCACCTTCGGGTAACAGGCAGTCGATTTACAATGTACATAATAAGTCATTATCTGCAGATTGATCATTTATTGACTCACCTTCGACAAGGAATCATTTATCTGTCAATCAAAACGATTCTTTGCTTCCCTATTTATCGTATTTATCCTGCGCCATTCACCAATACTGCACCCCATACTCTGTTCGGGGCGACCCAGGGCTTCACCCCAACCTTTCTATGATCCACGTCGGATGGTGTCTGAACTTAGTCAACGTATCCACTTGCCTGTTTTTTTTTTTCACACAAGTAGAGGTTTCTTTTGGTGGTATTTGATCACCACTGTTTTTTTTTTTTTTATGTGTGACATCAACAAAAAAAGAGAAACATTTTTTAAAAAATAAATATATTTTCTACTTTCGGTTATGAAAAATATTATTCGATAAACTCAAAGCTAGTCATAAATTTAGGCTGAAATGTATTCTGCTACGTCTCTGCTATAAAAAAAAAAAAAAATATCCCAATAAGTGTATATTCATTGGTTTGTGTGAAAGTTATAGTATCTACAAACTATGGGATATATACTGTATATTGGGCATTTACACAGCTTTTAATTTCCAACTGCCTATCACATTTCTTGAGGTACTTAAGTACCACCACAGTACAGCCGCCGCACCCCAAATGACCCCTTTTTGGAAAGTAGACACCCCAAGAAACTGGCTGAAAGGCATGCTGAGTCCATGGAAGATTTTATTTTTTGCCACATATTTTTAGAAAATGACACTTTTTTTTGGTTGTTATTTAAATTATTAATGACTCACGCATGCCATGGGTATATGTGGAATAACACCCCAAAACACATTCTGCTACTTATTCCGAGTATGGAGATACCACATGTGAGAGACTTTTTGGTAGTCTATTCACATACAGGCCCCTAAAATCCAATGACCACCTTCAGGCTTTCAAAGGGCATATTTCCTCAGATCACTTCCTTAGTAGCTATCACAGTTTCAGATGCCCTAAAATGCAAGGATAGTACACCCTTTCCCCAAATGACCCCTTTTTGGAAAGTAGACACCCAAGAAATTTGCTGAGAGGCATGCTGAGTCCATGGAAGATATTTTTACTACAAGCCCCCACTACAGATGGACTTGGACACCACCTCCACATGGACCTTCTACTAACCCCCATTGCTGATGGTCCATCGCCAAACGTACACAGG